GATTTCAGGCCGGTGACAGTTACCTCAAGCAGCCAAGAGCAGTGGGAAGAGGTCTTGCAGCCAGACAGGGACTAGAACTCTGGGCCCTCGCCTCCTGGCTGAGTGGCCCCAGACAGAGGACATGACCACTCTGAACCTCACTGTCTGTAGATGGGCACGATAATGTCCCTCCCAGGACCGGGAAAGGTTATCTGAGGAAACATACACAAACCCCCTGCAGGGGTGATTAGTACTATTCTTCATCCTGCTGGTGCCAATTGAGGCCTGGCCCCCCAGTTGCAGGGGCACAGCCAAGCCCATGGCCCGTGATTCTTGGAGGGAGATCCAGCCACTCTGTTCAGTGGGCGGCACATCAGAACCACCTGCAGTGCCCCGCACCCACTACCTGAGGGCCGCATGGTTTGATCTGCAAGGGGTGTGCTGCTCTATTAGTTAAAGCCCCGCAGTCCACCTGGACGTCCGGCTCAGGTTTAGAGAGCCTGTCTCTCGAGACAGGAAATGCTGGGTGTGGTCTGAGGGATGGGGCTCCAGGTCTCCAGGCCCACCATGTCCCCTCCCAGGTGAGCTGTGTTAGGGTCAGAGCCTGGGCCAGCAGGGGGCACACGGGCCTGCTCAGGTGGGGCTGCCTGGCCCCTTTACGAGGCGCTGCAGTGCAGGCTGGCTCCCTGAGCACCCACGTATCGCCTGCGCTATTTCCATCGCCCAGGACAGATGGCAGGAAGTGGGGTGGGCGGCGTGATGTTCGGCCCTGCGCATTTGGAAGGGGGAGGCTTCTGGGATCCTCAATCCTCCATCTGCCTGGGACAGAGACAGATGCGGGCCAGGCGGGGGGAGCTGGGTTTGTCCTGAGTCCCTGCAGACACTCACAGGAGCACATGCTCGAATGCACACACCCAGTGCCACCCCTCTCAGTGCACTGGAGCGGGAGCTGAGAACTGGCCTCTGGCGACTGCCACCTCGCCCAGGACACAAATGCCCCTGTTCCCTGGCACCTCGCTGCCCAGGCGGTGAGCGTGTCTCACGGACCCAGGGGTCCACGCAAGCTGCTCGCTGACCATGTTCTATTGTTGGGACCTTTTCCAGGCTCTGCTCAGTCCTCAGCCAACAGGAGACTGACACCTCCTGCATCACGGAACTCTCGCGTGTTCCCAGGGCCATGCTGAAGCGGTTGGTATAGGATCTCATTTGCCTAGGAGGGCAATGATATTTCCCCAGGAAAATGAGGAGACCTTGGCACAGAGATGTATGACTTGCCCAAGGACATAGTCAGCTGGTGTAGAGCTGGCACTGTGCCAGACCGACTGGTGCAGAATCAAGTTAACAGCCCACAAGGCTCAGCCACATTAACGCTGTGACAGGCCAGGGTACATATGTTGTGCATGCCCACAGGGATGTACGTCATAGCTCCTTTGGTGGTGATCCTGACCTCAGCACCCAGCCCCCACCGGTCAGCACATGGACCCAACTTCGTGTGGGGGCTGAGCAAAGGCTCTAGGTGTATCTGAGTCCAAGATGGAGAGACTGGGACCCAGGGAGGGGTGGGCACTGCCCAAGCGCACAGACTCAACAGGGGAGCGTTGGGGCTAGAACTGGCTCTCTGGGCACTGCGTGGATTGCCCATCTTGAGAGAGAATCTTAAAACAGGGCTGGGATGGACTGGGCATGGGTGGCACCAGCAGCAGAGGGACTCAGGGTTGCCTCTGGCATGCCCTGGGGGTGCCCATGTGCAGGAGTGGGGAAGGGCGGGAGCAGTGGGCAGTGCTGGGGAGGAGGCTGGGGGGAACCAGCAGCTGCTATGCCCAGCTGAGCTGGCATGGGCACAGGCCAGCCTGATGGAGGGGCTGGGCAGAGACCTGAAGCAACAGATGCAAGGGGGAGGCTGGGCCGGCTGGGAGGTGAAATAGGTCCCCGCTTGGCTATCCTGCCTCAGCTCAACTCAGCCCCGGCCCATCTCACTCTGGCGCCTGCAGGGTCCCTGGGCGCTCTCTCGGTCACATGGCTGCTCTGTGGCTCTAGGACGTGGGCTGATCACAGCTGACAGATGCACCTGTTGGGGGAACGTCAGTCAGCTGGGGGAGAGCTGGGGTCCAGCACAGCAAATCACTTCACACTGCACCCACCTTCCTGCCCCCAGTCTCCTTCCTGCCCTGGTCTGGGACCAGCAAAGAAGACCTGCCAAGCTCTCTCCCCTCTTCTTTCTTTGTTGGAAATCAAGGCTGCCTTTGTCCCTCACAGAGGCCACAGTCAGGGCTCCGCAGCTGCTCCTGGGTTCACCAGGGCCGCCTTGGGGAGGGATGAGAAGAACAGATGGCCCCAAGCCAGATAAGAAAAAGGGATCCCGAATTCGAAAGCCTGGGGTCGTTTTCTTTGCAGCTCTGAACCTGCAGCCCAGAAAGAGGCTCTGGAGGCTCAAGGTTGCATGGCTGGTCCAGGGGAGGTGGCTGGGTGTGATGTATGCGTGTGTATGGTCACTAAGGGTTCAGAGGATTCTAAGGCCACAAACCCGCAGAGCCAGCCCCCAGCTGAGACAGGACCCCTGCTCAGCCACCTGGTTCCAGACGAGCATCTCTCCCCCCTCCCCCAAATTCTTCTCCCAGGACCTCCTGCCCCGAGCCCTAGGGAAGAGCTTTGCAGTGAGACAGAGCAGGTTTCAAATCCCAGCTACAACACTGTGTCATTTGCAATCGAGGGCAGGCCTCAGGCTCATTTGTGAAGTGGGTACAATGCCAACAGCTGCCTCATGTGGGTCCAGGGAGATGATACAGGGAGATATAGGGTGAGCCCTGACCTCCCAGACTCCGCCTGGAGAACATTCGGACCCATTTCAGGCATCTGCCCTATGCCCCATCTCTGGCTGGGCAGACTGAGGGAGCAAGTTAGGGCTCACCTCCTGAAAGTGCCCTGCAGGAAGGCTGGCAGCCTGGCAGGTGGAGTTCCAGGGCACATGCTGGGCTGTGGGCACATCACTCCCGGAGCCCCGCTGCAGGCATGCCCACTCCAGCAGAGCCGCAGCCCCGTCCGCTCCACTCGTGGGTTCAAGCCTGTTGCTGTGCTGGGAGACCTGCTCCTCCTGAGCCCGGCGTCTGCAGCGGGCACTGACTTGCTGGCCCTTGGGGAGTGCTGTGAGGACCCTGAATAACTGGAGGGCGCGTGCAGGAGGTAGCACTGACCGTGACAGGCAGCTGACAGCATGAGTCTGGCCAACTCCCACCCTGCGCTCTGACTTGCAGTCCCTGCTGCCAATAGCGAGGAAGATGATTTTCACAACCAGTCCCCCTGCTGACCTTGGTGAGCAGCCCAGGGGCAGCTTCCCCGAGGATCACTCGCTGCCTGGTCCAGCACCAGCAAGCGTGGGACCTGCTCCAGTCTAGGAAGGCTACTGGTGGGTGCGAGGCCTGGCAAGATCCAGCAGGGCCAGGAGCCAGTTGTAGGGGAGGGCGGATGGCAGGGTGGGGTCACAGTGGCCAAGGGAAGGGCCAGGTGCACCCGAGGACGTTAGCTACTCACTCCACCCACCTGGCAGGGCCAGAGCCGGCCAAGCTCCCAGGATGAGCTCTTGGCGTTGGGCCAGCAGAGGAAGGCGAGAGAACTGGCCTCTGCCTGGTGGACAGAGCAGGCTGTGTGCAACCTGACTGTGCAGAAACCGCCCCTGTGTGCATGCAAGTCGTGAAGCCCGGGTGCAGTTGCTAGGTGTGGCCATGCAGTGTGTGCTCACGCCGACGCCTGTGGATTACGTGGACTGTGCCAGCAGTGGCGTGTGCATGCGCCGAACATGTCGCGTGGGAGCCTGAGACAAGGCGCTGTGGTCCTCTACGTCTGCCCTACCCACTGGAGGCTGCTGGGAGAAAAGGCACTTTCTCCACCTACCCCATTGCCAAGCCCGAACAGTTTCATGTTGTCACCTCTGCTAATCCTCCTGGCACCCCTGGGAGATGGACCAGGTGGGTTCTGAGCAGTGTAGCCGGAAGACAGCCACAAGCCCACTGTTTGCCACTGTTCTTATGGGTGAAAGAGAGACAGAAATCTGTCTTTTGGGGGCATCCATTCTCCCTTACTCACGAGACCCTGATTGTATTTGAGGGTTTTCCCTTCCTTCTTCTTCCTACTGACTGCCCGCATGTGCTGGCTGGAGCCCCAGCAGCCGTGTTGGACCTTAAGGTAACCTCCCAAATGGAAGCCAAGGAGACAGATGGAGCCCGAGTCCCCGCTGGCCGCAGGGCCTCCGTCCAGCCCTCGGTGCCTCCCTCTGGACTTCTGCACGAGAGAGCAATGCAACCAGCCTTCCTCAGAACACTGTCCCTTGGGGGGATTTGCTGCAAACAGCCAGAACTAACCTCGATGCTTCATCCTTCCAAAGAGAGCCTGTCCCAAACCATGAGGCGCTCGCAAGCCCTCGGAACACATCTTCTGAGTGTCAACTGCATTCCGGGGGTGGGCTTACGCTCCTTTCCCTCATTCTTCTTCATTGAATTATTCTTCCCACTGCCCTGGTACCTCTTCCTGAACTCTGCCCCCCGCATTTTCCTTGCTTTTTCTCTCTCTCTCCAAACTCCCAGAGTGAGAGCTATTAGCCCCGCAGCCCGTTAGGGAGTAGTTGAATAATTAAAAGGTGCATTCATTGACCAGCCTGGAACATGAGACACCCCTCCCGGCACTCAGCCATCCCTCAGCGCTGGGGCTATGGAGCCCAGACTCAGGGCCAGCGGTCCGGCACCTGCCCCAGGGACCGCACAGAGCAGGACCAGCCACATGTCTGACCAAGCTTCTCCTCCGCCCAGCTTCTGTCCCACAAATACCTAAAGCTTCTCCCATCCCAAGGGGGCCCCAGGACTCTGGCTTCCCAGTCAGAGCACCCCAACACTTACTTTCCCCTAAGCAACCCTACAGGGGACAGCAAAGGATAACCTCAAAATAGGAGGGACAACAAGGTGCCCCTATGGTCTGAGGCAACTCCTAGAAGCCCCTGCCCCACCCCACAAGCCCCAGCCCCCATCGCCTACCTTGGCCCGCTGCATCCTGGGTGCTGAGGGCAACTATTGCCGGCCTGCCCTGCTCACAGCCCGGGAGCTCAGGGCTGTCGGGCAGGGTGGCAGCTGCCTCATGTTAGCTTGGACTGGCGGCTTCTCGCCCGCCCCCTGCCCACCCCTCCCTGCCTGCCTGCTTCTACCGGCTCCACCCCTTCTCTCTCTCTCTCTCTCTCTCTCTCTCTCCCCCCCCCCTCCCTCGCTCCCTGCCCCGCCCCTGCCCCGGGCAGCACGGTCCCACTCCAGTATCAAGGAGAAATGGCTCCTAGTCCTGCCCTCTCAGCCTATTGAGGTCCTGCCCGTCTGGCTCCTGATCTCCCTCTGCTCTGTCACCGGGTGTTCGCTCTGTGCACCCCCACCCTGTCCCTTTCTCTAACACACGCATTCTCTGCTCCCCCCCTTGGTTCTGGGGAGGTGGGTGTGGGGGGTGCCGGGAGGGAGAGCTCAGCTTGAGTTCCTGCCCCAAGTGAGGGGCCCCCTCTCCCTGCTGGCGCCTGCTCACCGGCACCCTGTGCAGGGACCCGAGAGGCCATGCACTGCAGTCAAGACCTTGGTGCCCCCTCAGCCGGCCCTCTTCCCTGAGGGGACATCATTGTGGAGCCCTGGGTCCGAAATAGCCTCACAGATGGAAGTTTAACACCCAGAGTCGGTGACAGCGGCCAGGCCACACACGGGGGCCCTTCCGCCTCTTTCACCTGCCACCCCTTAATTACCTTTTTCACCCGTGGGGCCTCGCCATGTGAGAGCTCTCCCAGGTAGCCTGTCTCTCCAGGGCCTGTCATCTGTCCCCGCCTGGGGCCCAGGTTGGGGCCCCATCAGGGTGGCTGAGAAACCTCATCAGATCCCCTAAGTGGTGGGGAGAGGAGAAAGGTGAGGCCCTGGGCATCCTTGGGCACTCACACAGCCCCAGGGAGACCACCGGGAGCCAGGTGCCTGAAACCTCCACCAAGTTTCCCTTTTCTGCACCCCAGCGCCAGCCTGAGCCAGTGGTTCCCATGGAAACGAAGCCCTGTGACACCCTCCTCTGCAGCGGGCACAGGCACTCACATGCTCTCCATTTTTTTTAGCCAGCCGGTTCGCTCCAACTCTCAGATCCGCAGGGGAAGAGAGTGGCCTGAGCTGCTGGCCCACTGAGGCCGGAGGACCGCTTCCTGAGCAGAGGCAGCCCAGTGTCCAGCCAGGCTGGACTTCAGGACGTGCTGGTCCTGGAGGAGGTGCTGTGTCGGCCAGAGGCTGAGCTCCCGGGGAGTCCGGGGGCCTTGCACCAGGTCAAGGGCTGAGCTCTCGGGGAGTCCGGGGGCCTTGCACCAGGTCAAGGGCTGAGCTCTCGGGGAGTCCGGGGGCCTTGCACCGGGTCAGGGGCTGAGCTCCCCGGGAGTCCGGGGGCCTTGCACTGGGTCAGGGGCTGAGCTCCCGGGGAGTCCGGGGGCCTTGCACTGGGTCAGGGGCTGAGCTCCCGGGGAGTCCGGGGGCCTTGCACCAGGTCAGGGGCTGAGCTCCTGGGGAGTCCAGGAGTCTTGCACTAGGTGGCTTCTGGCTCTGAGCTCCCGGGGAGTCCAGGGGCCTTGCACCAGGTGGCTTCTGGCTCTGAGCTTCCGGGGAGTCCAGGGGCCTTGCACCAGGTCAGGGGCTGAGCTCCTGGGAAGTCCTGGAGTCTTGCACTAGGTGGCTTCTGGCTCTGAGCTCCCGGGGAGTCCAGGGGCCTTGCACCAGGTGGCTTCTGGCTCTGAGCAAGATCCCACAAGGGCCTCCTGTGATGAGAGTGAGAGCCAGGAAAGTTAAAGGACTTGCCCAGGGCCAACTAGAGAGTGACCCCGCCAGGACTGAAAGCCTGTTTCTTCCATTCCACACAGAGCGTGTGACTAAGATGCCACCCTGCCTGCCAGGTTCCACACACCAACTTGGAAATGTGCCCCCAACTGTCCAGGACAGTCCTGGCCTTACTTCTGGCCTGGCCTCAAGAGGGGGACCAGCACGCCGCTCAGAAGGGCTCCTCTGAGTGAAAGAGCCTGGAGCTGAGACAAGACAGGACCAGGACAGAGGCCTCCCGGCCAGGCCCTCCTGCCTTTGGGCCTTGGGAACCTCCCACTGCAGCTACTACCCCAGGGGTACCCCTCATACAACACAGATTTGGGCTTGTGTGCCCTGCCATGACCCTTGCCCACCCCTGCCCCCTTCCTCCCAGCGCCCCAGGCTCTGCCAGCCGGTCCCTCCGCTGGACGAGGGGAATGGAGGGGGAGGCCCCCCTGAGAGGCCCCGACCGTGGGGGACACATGGGATCAGCAGACTTTCTCCACGAGTCTGGGAACTTCCAAAGATTTTTTGGCAGTGTGTCAGACCCAGAGAGGTTAGGGAAGGGGACTGCGGGGGACCGGCCTGGTCAGCATGAACCCTTCAGCCTGACGGGTTTTAGCCGCGGTTTTCTCACCTCCGATGGGAGGCAAGGAAGGCGGGAAAGTCAGGAGTTGAAAGGGGGAGTCGGGGCTGTTTCAGAAGGTTGAGTTTCCTTGAGTCACATTGGGGGTGCACAGCCTTTGGGAGGAGGCAGTGGGGAGCCGCCTCAGCTTGCTGGGGCCCTCACCCTCATTCCACCTTAGTGAGGAGCTCGCAGCACCCCACCCACAGATATTGGGGTCTTCTGGGCCTTCCTCCACTGCAGGTCACAACTCCCTCCATCCAAGCTCAAGGTCAATCCCCCCTGACCCCCCTGAGTAGGCACCCAAGCCTGGCTCCATGGAACCCCAGCCTGTATGTTTTGTATCTTTTCCTGGGCCCTTTTCTTGGGCTCTGGCTCTGCCTACCCCTGGCCAAGGGCGCGCGCTCACGAAAGACAAAGAGAGAGAGGAAGAAGGAGGAGGAGGAGGAGCGAAGGAGAGGGAAGAGGGGGAGGGGAGATTGAGAGAGATGTAGTCAATATGGTTTCAGGTTTGGGCCATTGCCCACTAAGAGCCACTGCCCGTGAGGAAGGACCCTCTGGGTAGAGGTGGGTCTCACTCCACCCATGAACCTCAAGAAATGTCTGTTGCCCCAAATCAGCCCTGGCCTGGCCACCTGAGCCCTCAGGCGGCACTGTGAGCCCACCCAGCTGTGGGTTTGGAAAGCCACCTGACAGCCTTGTCTGCCTTCCACTGGCCCTCAACATCTCCTCTGCAGCTGGATGGAAGCCTGGCAGAGCCGGATGCTGCTTGGTAGGGAGACCCAATGGTTCTGTCACTTCACCTTACACAGCACAGTGGTCAGCCCTCCTGCTGGGACCCCACCCGGTGCCCCGTCCAGGTGACGGGCCCTGCAGGGCACGGCTGCCATGCGCAGCCTGCAGATGGAGCTCTCCTGGACCTGCACCTCCTCCTGTGGGCACCCAGGGGGTCCTCAGAGCCTGGTCATCCTGGACACCTCTCCACCATCCCCTGACTGGGGTTTCTCGCATGGCCTAGGGGAACCCAGGAGCCCCACAGCCCTCAGCCCCAGCCCCTCAGGTAGCTCCACCGTCTCCCCGAGCTGTGTCCACCCTCCAGGCGGCCTCCTGGGCTGGGCCTGAGGACCACGCGGACTGTCCCTCCCATGAGGCCCTCATCTGGACCAGCAAAGCAGCAGGTGGGGGTGAGACAGTCCACTGGGTTTCTCAAACTGCAGGGACACCGTGTAGCTTTAGGGGAGTCTCTTTAAAGCCCCTTTCCTTCTGGCTTGAAGAGAAAACACTCCATCTCTCCCTTTGGGCTCAGCTCACTTACCCCAAATCCCCTCCTCTAACCTCAACACTTGACTCCTGGGTGCCCTCAGTGTGCTGGGAGTTCAGGTGCCTAAGTTCTGCATCCCTCGTGGCAGAGGCCAAGGCTGGGTGTCGTCATCTCTGCACACACCCACCTGCTTCTCGCCAGGCGCTGAGGTCCTGGGTCCTGTCTGGGAGACAGGTGAGCACTAACTGCTCCCAGAGGGGCACATCCAGGCAGCACAAAGACTGGGGACCACAGGGAAGGGGTTTCATCCCAGCAGCACATGGTGTGGTCACCAGGCTGGCCACCAGTCTCCAGGCTCAGTCCCTAGCACTCAGGCCTGGAGACAGGGCACTGGGAGCTAAGCATAGGGAGGGCCTGGCTCTGGGGACACTATCCATGACCACCTGGAGCAGGGCCTCAGGCTGACCACAGGGAATTCAGATAGCGCCTGAAATGCCCAATTATGAGTTGTTTCCTTTGGGGAAGTGGTGCCCTTTCTACTCACCCTGCACTCAGTCTCGAGGCCTCAGTCTCCACAACCAGAAACAGGTAAATGGCAGTATCTGCCTCTTAGTTAATTCATGTAGTAAAGTACTTAGCACTTTTGCTAGTGTTTACTTGTAGCTCCATAAATGCCTGTGTCCTCGGGTAGCCTGAGCAGGGCCCTAGCTATGTAGCTCTTCCCTTGCACACCCGAGCCAGCCAGAACTGGCCTGGCCAGCCACCGGGGACCGCAGACCCAGGTGGGACCTCAGGCACCCTGGCCCACCAGCATTTCTTTGGCAGAATCTGCCACTCACGGCTCACGGGCCTTCGCTCTGGGATGACCAGGCTGGGTGGTGTCTGGCAGAGAGCCAGATGGTGTCTGGCTCCAATTTTCCACCCCTCCCGCCACAAGGACGGCAAAGATATTTGTATCAAATCTCCCGAGTCAGGGCCTCCCTCCCACAGGCCCACAGGGAATGGGGACTGGCTCCAGGAAGGAACCTTCAGGGCCACCGGGACCAGGGGCCCTGGGCTCGAGACAGAGCTGGGCTTCTTGTGAGAACTTGAACCAGCCACCCAGCATGAGACAGGATGGTCCCCAGCCCTCCAGGGAATGTTGTAGTAACAGATAAGCCCGTGATGACCAAGGGGCTCTGTTTCACACATAAAGTAGGACTTGCATTTTAGGATCCCAGCATTTTAAAATATGGGAACTGTGGAATATATATTTCTCTGAGGCTATTTCTGTCCCTCTGACGCCTGCCAAGTGCCACCCCCATCCCCAAGTAACCAGAGCTTACAGTGATACTCTCTAAACCAAGCCTCTTAAAAAGTTGATATTCGACTGGCTGGGCCAAGGTGTCTGGACACTAAGTGTAAAGAGCAACAGCCTTGCCCTGGCAGTTTAGCTCAGCAGCTAGAGCATCAGCCCATGGACTGAAGGGTCATGGGTTTGATTCCTGGTCTAGGGCACATACCTGGGTTGCAGGTTTGATCCCCAGCCTTGGTTGGGGTTGTGTAGGTGGCAACCAATCAATGTATCTCTCTCACATTGATGTTTTTTTCTTTCTCTCTCTCTCCCTTCCACTCATTCTAAAAATCAATGGAAAAATATCCTTGGTTGAGGATTACAAAACAAAACAAACAAAAAAAAGGGGTGAGGGGGGGGGGCAACGGCCTTTTCCCAATTCACAAGGGAAATCAAGTTAATTTTTCAGGATTACTACTTCTGATCATGGTGGACGAGGTCACGTAGACGAAATCCCCAATTGTGGACAACTTAAAAGCTGCTCCGATACATATATTTTTAAGTCTGATTGCAGGTGTTGAGGAGCCAACAAGGTCGTAAGGAATCACAGGACCAAGATCAGGGAAAGGAAGGAGAGACATGTGCCTGGCATCCGAGGCTACTTTCTCCCTCGGGTCCCACTGGTCCTAAGATACAGCAAGCTGCTGAGCAGAGCTGTTAACAGCCTCTGGGTCTAAGGAGGTAAAAACTAGGCCCATTACAAGGAGGGGTGGTGCAAAACTTTCATGTTTTGGGTTGGTACTCCAAAGGACTTCATTACCAAAATACAAATGGAAACAGATCAGTCCTCCAAGGGACTGCAAATCATCTTAGCCCAGAAACCAGAAAGCCATCCTGGTTTGCTAGATCCCAAGCCACCTGCCAGATGTAAACACAACCCTCGTGAGGGAAGAAAAGCTTATCCTACACCTCAAATTATTTCTACAAATTTCAGATGTAATATGTGGTACTCAATCAAAAACCACCAAGTATGTGAAGAGGCAAGACAAAACTAACAAAAACCAAGAGAAACAACAGACACTAGAAACAGACTTATGGAGGCTCTATGTTAGAGCGTTACCAAACTTTAAAATTACTATGCTTAATATGCTCAAATATATCAAAGATAAGATAGGCAACTTTGATAGAGAGTCGGAAATTCTTTTTAATCATTTGTTTCTTTTTGTATCCCATCAATTTCATTCTTAAAATGCAGGGGCTATATTTTCCCTGCATAGGACAACAGATGAGAAACAAGAAAAAAAGAAATCTCTGGAAAAAGCCAAAAAGAGGCAATTGTGCTACATTCTGGGATGCTTGTGTGAGTGTGTTTGTAACAGGGACGATACATTTCGTGTGCACCACCCTACTTCCTCGCACCAAACTTGTTACTGGTTTGTAAGATGCGAAACACGGACACTCTGAAACTCAGCAGACCACAGTCCTAAAGCGCCTTTGCTCTCTCTTCCCATTGCTCCTGCCCAGACCCAGCTCTGCCCCCCGGTCCTCAGCAGTCATGGCAAAACATAGCAGCATTTGAACATGTGTTTTGGGTCAGGCCCCTGCCAAGCGATTTCCACACATTATCACATTTTTCACAGCCCTATGAGGAGGCTATGACTCTTCTTCCATTTTAAAAATGGAGAAACTGAGGCCCAGGGGCCCCACATAACTAATGTTTGAGGTGCCCCCACTAACAAGTGTTAGTGAGCACATGGACACAGGTGTGCCTGCTCCTGGAGTGAGCCCCTCCCCACCTGCTGATTACTGGGGGAATCCCTGGATGCCTGTGACCAGAGGAAGCCTTGGGTTCTCCTCTCCACCAACACTTATTAAACACTGACTGCTCCCTGGACCCTAGCCTGGGAGATCTAGTGTTAAGGACCCAAAGCCAAGGTTTAGGAAGTGAGAGCACTTTAATGGATCAGAGAACCTGTCTCTGCTCCTCTCTCCTCTCCCTCTCCCCTTCTTCTGAAGCTCAGGGTTCGGCATGTAGAGAGCGCAGGGATGGCACCAGGCTACACGCACAGGAGAGAAGGAGGAAGGATCACAGTGCAACATCCTGCTGTGGCCACCGGATCCTTCGTGGGGAGTCTGGGTGGTGGCTGTCAAAGAGGCTACTTTCTGGGAAGCTGAGAAGGAGACCCTGCACTGGCCCAGGCCCCAGGCTCCTTCCCAGGGAACCAGTACTCAGAGAGTTGCTGGGGAACAACAGTACTGTTTCCAACCAAGGGTGCAGGCAGGGGGCTCAGCCTTCATACAGGCTGGGGGTGGGGGTGGGGGTGGGGGCAGGAAATCCAGGCAGGGGCTTATGAAAGCCGTAGTGGGCTCGGAGGCTGTGAGGCAGCCAGCCCAGGCCCGAGCCATGGTGGCCCCTTGCCTGCTGGGTGGATTCACCTGATTAGTTTGGTCAGGAAGGAGGGGTCCCTGGGGACCAGCAAGGTAGTGGGATACACTAAGGAAGGACAAGGGAGAACGAGCTTCCCTAGGAGGAGGATGTAAGGGCTGAGGAGGGGACAGAGTGAAGCTGGGGAAAGTGGGGAGCAGAGATGACGATAAGGGGAGAGGAGCTGGAGAGCACTGTCGGGGGACATGTGCAGGGGGAGGGGTGGATGATGACAGAGTGGGGTGGGCAGGGCCTCTGTCCCCCGAGGGGCTGAGAACAGGGTTGTCTTGTGCGGACATGCCACTGGGAGGAGGAGAAGGAACAGGCACTTGGAGAACCTATGGGCTCCGGAGCTCAGCAGCAAGTGTGAATAACGAGGGTCATGAGCAGACAGGGTGGTAAAGGAACAGGAAGATGGGGTCAGGATGCTGGGAGTGGGGACAGTCCAGGCCTGCACGTGGCCTGGGCTCTGGGGGCGAGAGCAACAGAAGTCCTCTGGTCCAGGCCAAGTCGAAGGGGGAGGCGGCAGCCCCGGGCATCACCTTGCAGCTAGCAAAGCCCTGTTATGGATTCAGAAAGAAAGGGGTGAGTGAGAGGGACGGGGGTACAGGCCTGGGCCTGTCGGTCCCACTGCTGGATGGACCAGACCCCACACTCAGACCCCACCAAGTCCCAGAACCTTCCTGCCCCCAGGCTGGGGAAAGGCCTGGCTCTGGTCAAGGACGGTGGCCCATGACCACCCAGAGCAGGGCTTCAGGGCCCCAGTCCCTTTCCTTCCTGTCCTCATACCCCTGCCCCTGGCACCAAGGAGTTCAGGGGGGAACTCACCCCAGGGGGTCCTACAGCTTCAGGGAGGTGACCCTGGGGATGTGGAAGAGCTGGGTCTCCTCAGAGCTGCTGGAGCTGTGGCATCAGGAGAGAGAGAGAGTGACCCTGACAGCCTCTGCCCCGCCCGCCAGGCAGCCCAGAGCCCCGCCTTCCCGCCTTCCCGCCTTCCCGCCGCAGATGCTCTCCGGGGCAGGCAGAGTTCGGAGATGCCCGGGGCTGCTGCAGCTAGGGGACAGGAGGACCTTCCCGAACCCAGGGTTCCTCGGAGTGTGTGGCTCCACAGGGCCAGCATGTGCCTCCTCTGCCTGGGGGGTGGTGCTCAGGAGGGGGTGGCAGGGGCTGGGGTCCAGTGGCTGGAAGGTCTCCTTCCTGGGCCCTGTTGCCCCCACAGTTTTGGCAGCCCCCTCACCTGAGGCGTTTCCAGATGGGATGGAAGTATTTGGAGGTCTTGATGGCAAAGATGATGCTGGGGACCAGAAAGAAGGTGCACCACGCCAGGCAGAACCAGAAGGCATTCTGAACAGAGGGTGAGGGGTTAGCTCACGCGGGCCGGGAGGTGACTTCTTCCCAGACCCCCGTGGACACAGTGAGGGGCACAGGCGGTGCTCCCAGAGCTGAGCTCCAGGCCTGGGGGCAGGGTCGCTTCAGGTCCTGCTCATGCGCCCCTCCCACGGGGCCCCCCAGCACTCACCCAGGGGTCAGCCATCATGTCACACAGGATCACACGGCCATTGTCCAGGGCTCCAGCCAGGGGCTGGCAGGTGGCAATGTGCTGAGTCACCTGTGGCATCAACATGAAGCAGGTACACCCAGACCCACGGGTGCACCCCCCATAGTCAGAGAGAGAGGTTGAAGGGGACACAGATAGGCCCGGGGACACAGATAGGCCCAGGGACACATGGGCACAGGAACACTGACACAGCTCAGCTCCTGCCCCTCCTATTCTGCGCACCAGCCTGCATGAAGCGCCTACTGTGTGCCCAGCACTGTGCCCCCAGCCACACTCTCACTGGAGAGGTACACAGCGTGCAGGGCCGGGGCCAGCAGGCGCCTGCAGAAGGAGGAACACCTGGGGGCTGGGCTGGCCTCTACAGGATGGGCAGGGCACCAGCACGAGGGAGGGCACGGGGACAAGTTGGACAGCATGCTCTGCACCCACGGCCAGCCCCGCTCACACCCAAGCGTCAGAGAAGCGCTGCTCAGAGGATGAGTGTGCAGAGCCCAGCTAGAGGGCAGGGGCATGGATGCCAGCTGTGCGAGTTTGGGTTCTAGGGCACTTCCAAGGCATCCCCGAGGGGCTCTGGGGTGACAGAGGGGAAGAACAGGGTGAACGGCTGGTACCACTGGGGAGCGAGTGATCACTAGTGGCGCTGAGGCCGGGGGGGATCTGTGCCCCACTCACCTCCTCTCTCACCCAGGCCAGGTACTGGGAGAAGTAGCCCATCTCCCGGGTCAGGAAGCACCTACTTTCCTGCAGGAAGGAGGGGAGCCCTGGGCTGGCAGGAATTCCAGGCACCAGCCCCCACGTCCCATGCCACGCACCATCAGGACAGGCCAAGCTGGCTCTCCTGGGAGCCAGGGTGAGGGCCCAGTGCTGGAGAAGCCTGGGGTGGGAGCCCTACATGCCTCCACCCCTCGACCCACCGCTGGCTCTGGGGTGGCTCCCACCCTTCTGCCACCCCCCACTCACATTCCTCAGGATACCAGTGGCCCGGGCAGGCAGCTCTTCTTTTAGGTAGCTGACCCTGTCCAGGACAGCTGAGGTCTCCAGCTGGGGAGAGGAGGGGGCTTGACTCAGTGTCCTGCTCAGTCAGGGAGCAGCCTCTCATTCATTAACTCAACATATCGCACAACCACACACTCAGCTTGGGGCAGGGGGTATTAAGCCTCAAGGACACAAAGGCCAAAGACAGGGGTCCTCAAGGATATGCTCACCCACCCCAATTCTCCCACCCCAACCTCAGCCTCCCACGGGACTTGGCAGAGCAGGTGAGGTCCCACGTCAGCCGGGCCTCTTCCTCCCTCCCTCTGCCGCCGCCTGCTCCACCCCACCCTCCCATCTGCAGAAGCCACCTGGAGGTTTGGCGCCGAGAACGCCAGGGCCCTGACACTGCTGTTGAGCTTGGCCTGTGGAGGAGAGATCGGGGCTGGTCAGGAGGGGAGCAGGACCCTCCTTTACACCCCCTCCCAGCCTCTCCTCTACCCCAAGCCCCAAGCTCCCTGGGCCTCCAGACTTACCACGAGGCTCTGCTGGGGGAGGACCTTCTCCTGGTAGAGGTTCCTGAGCCCGTGGGCCTCCTCCTGCAGCTGCGTCCCCAGCACAGAGCTGCCCTGAGGGGAGACAGACAGAAGGGCCTCTGCCGGGGGTATGCTTTGCAGGCATATCCCTCACCAAACTTCCTCCAGCACGCTGAGGAATGTGGGCGCCGGCTCAGAGAGGAACACCAAGGCCTCCTTTAGCTCCTGGGCCTGATCTGGGTTTGGGGGCCGAAGCCCAAGTTCGAGGTCTACTGCTAGCCTGCTGAGCATCCCTGTCAGCCAGTGGCACCTGCTGAAATGGGTGGGGTCTAAAAGCTATCTGGAAACAAATTTTTAGGCTCTGAGTATTTATAAACACAACGTGCTTTTTCCCCAGTAGAGTTGAAGCTCCTGGGGGCAACCATAATGACGTCTGATCCGTCACACGGTCCTCAGGCCACCGTCCCGGGGGACCTACGAGCAGAGCAGCGAGCGCATAGAAACACTTGCCCCAGTGCCTGATGTCAGACCAGTTACTTCATCTGATCTTTACAGATGGAAAAAGTGAGGCCCAGGGAGGTGAATTACTTGCCCAAGGTCACACAGCCAATTGGTGGCCGAACTTGAGTCAGAACTGATATGGCAAAACCCTTCAGCCCTGCTGGGGGTCCTCACTGACGGGAGCCCTCAATCTCCTGCAGTTGCCCTCACCCCATCCCCAAGCCAAACACTCTCACCCCCTCCCACCAGGCCTCTCCTTGGCTGCTGCCTTCTCACCTGAGAGTGGGCCAGTTCCTCCAGATCGTGGGCCAGCTTCTCCACACTGGTGTTCACCACCGGCTTCTGGATCTGGAGGCAGATGGAGAGGCCTGGTTCCCCCTCCCCTGAATTCCCAGCCTTTTCGAAAGTACTGCACACCAGGTATGTCTACTGGGACACATCCACCACAGGGCTTTGGCCGGAAACTGTGACTCACATCCACCAGACATTTTCCATTCAGATAGAAGAAAAAAGGGAGGGGCCCTCTGGTGTAACCCAAGAAAGAGGTGACTTCCCACCATCATTTGCCATCTCAGGAGGTTCAGGACCACGGACAGCAACACACTCTGGGGTTGGGGGCACATTCACTTCAGCCCAGCGGGATGGGGACACCAGGACAGGTCTGTGGTACGTGGTCTGGGGACACCCCCCCCAGGGACATGGGGAGTTGAGGAAAGATGGAGGGCCGGGACAAGGCGAGATGCACCCCCAGCTCCTCTGAGGACCCCTCTGTTCTGCAGCCGTCTGGCCTGAGGGGCCCACTGCTGACCTGGATGAGGAAGCCAGGGTAGTGGATGTTTCCGAGCCCACTGCTCTGCAGGGCCTTCAGGTCCTGGAGGCCAGCTGGGCTCAGCAGGTCCAGATTCTTCATGTCCACTTTGAAGTTCTGAAATTTCTCCTTCAGGTCGGCCACATACTAGGAGACAAGGGACAGGATGGGGGTCTGCCCAGGTTCTGAGCCAGAGCCCCGGAGCTGCTGTCCTAGGTGAGGGGTCACCAGGGCCTCCACCCTAGATCCTCCCAGCCTCAGACAGGCCCCCCACAGGCTTCTGCTTCCTACCCACGTCCCACCCCTCCAACACATCCCCAATAGCCAGCCCTTCTGCAGCACCAATCTGACAACTGGACAGCACACCGGCCTTCCCTGGCCACTCAGTATAAAATAGCTTCCCCAGCCCATCTTTATCCTGTCACTGTGTGCCAGGGTCTTCAGAGCACCTGTCACTGTGACATTATTTACGTAGGCACTTGCCTATGGCCGTCAGCACAGGTGGTGGGCACAGGACAAATGCGTTGAATGTGTAAAAATTAATGAATGGATAGATGATTGAATGAATGAATGAATGAACACAATCACATTTCCAAGACAGATCACAGTTTAAAAAGGGACACTCAGCCCTGGCCAGCTTGGCTCAGCGGTTGGAGCGTCGGCCTGCGGACCAGAGTCCCAGGTTTGGTCCCGCTAGGGGTACGTACCAAAAAAAAAAAAAAGGGACACTCAGCATTTTCCATCCATTGCTGGAGGAGATTTAAAGGGCATGACATTTGGCCCCAATTTTTTGTTTTGTTTTTTTTTTAATCCTCACCTGAGGATATTTTTCCGTTTATCTTCAAATAGAGCAGGAGGGAGAGGGAGGAAGAAAAAGAGAGAGAGAGAGAGAGAGAAACATCGATGTGAGAAAGACACATTGATTGGTTGCTTCCCACACGATCCTAACCAGGGCTGGGGACCGAACTGCAACCGAGGTACGTGCCCTTGACCAGAATTGAACCTGTGACTCTTTGGTCTGCAGGCCAACACTTTAACCTCTGAGCCAAACTGCCCAGGGCTCAGCCCCAATGTTTAACAGACTAGAAACTGAGTCCACAGAGGAGCATTCACCTGCCGAGCTTTTAGCAGGTTAGAGAATGGAGCTCAACTCTGGTCCTCTCCACCCCACTACCCTGCCTTCCCCAGGGGGAAGGCATCAGTGACAGACAAGTACGGGAGAGGTATGAAGGTGGCCAGAGCTCTACTGGTGCCCTGGAAAGCACACCTTGTCACACTTATCTCTGCCTCATCAGCTCCTTATTGTCTCCTTGGAGGACAAGCACTCTTAAGATCACATTTGATATTGCCAGATGGCCCCCAAGGACTGCCCAGTCCCTCTGAACCTGAGGCCCTACCTGTCCAGACTCTTCTGTGAGCTGGACTCCTCCCCTCCCAGGACTGGGGCTGAGACCCCCCCCTGAGAGCCACTACCCCCAGCCAGCAAAGCATGGGGCCCCTCTGCCCAGGCCCACTGCTGAAGCCCTCCCTGGCCTGCCTTCCTCTAGGGGCACCACCCGTGGTGACTGAGAACCCGGTGCCACCTGCTCTGTGGGCATCTCATCTAGTTAGAGACACTGGAGGAGGAAAAACTGCCCCCATTTACACAGCCTGGAGTTGGGACTGTCGTCAGGACACGGGCTATGCTGCCTCACAGGCTGAGAATGATGGCAGGTTCAAGAGGAGTTGGACCGGCTTCTGGATGGAGAAGCAGGAGTCAGCATGCTTTGCGGGGACGGGGCAGGACATGCTTAGGAAGGGCTCCCCGAGGGCCCTGGGAGCCAAGCACCTCTCCCCCACCTTCCTCAGGTGTGGAGAGAGGAAAGGAGAGAGTGTACACTCTCAGGAGAACCCCATTCTCCAAGCAGGTCCCCTCTCGGGAAGCAGCTCTTCCTTCTCCGACCCAGAACTGTCTCTCGTCAGCGTGGATCCTTTCCTCCAGTTCTGTACCCCAGGTTCGCCAAGTCCACTGACTGAGGGACTGCATCCTGCCACCACCTACTGACTGTGTGCGCTCAGCATGGGGCCTGTGGAGCCCTCCCCCAACTTCAGCCGACCGCAGCACACCAGTGCCTGCCCGGTCAGGACACACACCCTCAGGCTCCTACTCCGCGTCACCAGCCTTCCCTGCCGCTGCCCCAGCTGGTCACCAGCCTTCCCTGCCGCTGCCCCAGCTGGTCCGGCTTTCCCGAAGCACAGTGCTCAGAGCTGTTCACAGCCCCAGGCACTCTCCCACCCACCTGCACGTCCCAGAACCCTCCTGGGCTTAAGCTCAGGCCCTGAGCTGGCATCTGGGGCTCTGACCCTGAGGCCCCTCAATTGCTCTTGTAGACTCCTCAGGTTCAAGGAGATGGTCCCACCACAGAGGCAAGACCAGAGACTGGGGATTTGCAGGAAGGGTCCCCACAGCGTTCTGGAATGTCCCCTCACCTGGCTCATATCCAGGTACGTGTCCAGGTCATAGGAGTCGTTGAGCTGCAGGACCTTCCAGAGTGGAGCCCTTTCCCTGCACTGCCTGGGGAGGAACAATGGGCATCAAAGGTGAGAGAGCGGTGGCCAGAGGGGCTGATGCCATCCTACTGCGACACCCCAGCTCTCCCGACACTCTGTCCCCAGCCCAGGCTTCCTACTCACTGATAGGCCAGGAGGATACTGATGTTCTTCTTCAGACCAAGAAGGTGGGACAAGTTCATGGACGAGGGCAAGTTTCCCGGGGTGTCAACAAACTAGACAAGGGTCAGGGAGAAATGAGCCTGGAGCGGGCAGGGGCAAGCCTGTCCCAGACACGGGCTGCCCCATGACACCCTGGCTTGGCAGAGAATGTACCCCTTGACTCCACCCCAAACCTGCCTTGAACTCAAACCACCCTGGACCCTAACTGCCTGTAGGGACCCTTCCCACAAATCTTGGGGAGCAAGGCAGCCTGGTCTGCAACAGAGAATCTGCTCAAAGCACTAAAGAACCAGGACCCCCATTTCACAGACTCAGTTAAGAGAACAGAGGGGCTCAGGTCTGGGAGTCCTGCCCTGGGGCTGGACGTCACCCCAGGGACTCATAGGCTCTCTCTTCCACTCCTCAGCTAGTTGTTGTTTTCTCTTTTTCTTAGGCCGTCTTCATCATTCCCCCCTCCTCCCTCCCTCTTGCCTTCTCCGGCTCCCCCTTCCTCCTACCCCCCTTTCTCTGCTCACATCTCCCTCCACCCACCTCGTAGAGCTCCCCGCTCTCCCAGCTCCGGCACACCAGGGTCTGCACGTTGCCGCCCACCAGGAAGGTGGAGAAGACGAGGAGGATGAGGGGCGCAGCGAAGAAGAAGCTGAGGCCCACCCCGCTGGGAAGGCAGAGGGGCGGGGAGTGAGGCGGGAGAGAGCCTCTGCCCCTACCCACACCCCAGGCCAGCATGGTCAGCAAGTTAGCCCCAGGGCAGAGCCCTGTGGGGAGGAAAACTCATCGAGGACTGCACCACCTGGGCCAGGAGTTAGAACTGCTCGCTGTCCCCACCTCGTCCACCCCATCCTCACCCTGGCGCAGGCCCTAACTGGCCCTGGCAGCCTAGAGGAAAGAGTAACTGTTTTGTTCAAAGAGACAGGACTGCGGCCTCTGGGCCCAAGGCCCACACAGGTGACCAGCTCTAGAGCTCAGCCTTCAACAGGGCCACCTGGGTCAGCCAGCCATGACCCACCAGCAGAGGCAGCAACTTACAGCGTCTGAATAGGACGAGTGTGGCTGACCTTGGGGGCTTCTTTGGGAGCTAGGCACAGCCCCATGCCAGGATCTGAGCTTAGAGAGTAAAACATGGCTGGATTTCACTCCCCCTCGTCCCTTTGGCCAGGCACCCTGTGCAGGGACCAGCCGCACTACTGAATGTGCAGCCCTGGCCCTAGAGACCAGTCCAGGGAGGGCAAACTGATTCTGTCTCCGGTGCCACCTCCTGCTGTGGTGCCTCCTGGATGCTGGGTTAAGAGGGGTTCTGGGGCTCTGTCGGGGCTCAGTGGGGGAGTGTCCACCATTACTCTAATCACAACGGGTGATGTCATTTCTGCTCCAGTCCAACCCTTTGTACGGATGAGGACACTGAGGCCCACATAGGTGACTATTTGCCCAAGGCCACCCAGCAAATCGGTACCAGAGCTCAGTCTCTCAATGCCCAGGACAGAAGGAGTGTCTGTGGGCACAGAGGACCTGGCCAGCCCCATGCGAGAGACCCTGCCCTTCCCCACGGCCCTCCTTACACCATGAGGATGCGGGCTCCAGTCCTGCCCTTGGCTTCCAAGTGGCTGCGGTCCTGCCAGGCAGACAGCCCCCAGATGCCCAGGTTGAGGCCCACCAGGTTACAGACCACCACAAGCAGGACCACAGAGCACAGCGCGCAGCCCACGATCCACCTGCCACAGTGATGGTGTGGGTGTCACTGGGACGTATAGGGCCTCGTGGCTGGGTGGGGCCACTAACCCCAAGACTGAGGCTTTGGAAGTGTAGGTATGGACACTTCCTGAGGCCCCCTGCTCCTATGGGGGTCCCCAGGCTCAGATCTCAAGGGCACACAGCCAAGGTGGGGACACAGGGGAGTAAAGGTGGGGCCCAGGGAGTAAAGAATCTTGGCTTAAAGAAGGCAGAGGCTGAGTACAAGGAGTTGACGGGGATTGTGATTGGGCCCTGGTGGCAGAGAGGTTGGGCAGCCTACTCCGCCTCCACCCCATGGGTCCCGAGCACCTGTATTTCTCGTATCTCTGCACCTCCTTCAGGTAGGGGCGACTGCTGTTCTCCAGCTTCTCCAGAGCCTGGCTCCAGCGAGAGGCCGCCTCCCAGTTCGGAAATGCTTTGGCCAGTGTCTTCAGCCCTCCAGGCTGCTGGGCCACCGCCTTCTTCAGCTCTGCCCAAAGCAGCAGGGGCTTATGGGTTAGGGGGGAGAAGGATGGGCAGGAAGAACGCCTGGGACCCACCGAGGGCCCGCGCTCTGTCCAGGCCCGGCAGGGAACAGCCCTCTGCCTGCTCCCCACTGCCCCGCTCCTCAGTCGACCAGCCCGTGTCAGGGGTGGGGTGGGGTGGCAGGCCAGGCAGCCAGCCTGGCCCCGGGCAGGGCCTTCCTCACCTTTGACCACGTCAGCCAGCTGCAAGGGAGCCAGCTGCGGGAGGCTGTTAAAGGTGCTGTTCTCCTGTCAGAACAAAAGGCAGCTCTCCACCTGTGGGTCCCAGCTTGGGGACTCTGACACTATGAGGCCCAAAGGAAGGGGCTCTCACACTGTGCTCCCAACTCAGGGAATCAAGAAACAGCCTTCCCTTTGTCCCCTTGGGCCACAGTTTCTTCTCCCCTCCCTGGGCCCAGCCTGACTCAACTCCCCAAACAGAGCTCCTTAAAGAACCCTGCTTTTTACCTCCACCCTTCCTGCCTGGACTACTGCAGTAGACTCCCACCACCCTCTCCTTCTCCCGTCCATCCTGCGAATGACTGCTGGGTCTGGTTCCTGAAGTCTGGTTCTAACCCGCTCTTCCAACTGCAGCTTCCCCTTCCTCCTGGGACCTCCTGCTCCAGCCACCCCGCTTGGCTGACTCACCGTTTCCCAGCGCTGGCTTTCCAGGCCCTGGGCCACAGGTGCTGACTCATGCCCGACGCCCCCCACGGCCCATCTCCACTCAGGACGTCCTGCCTGTCCCCCAGGGCTCAGCTGCATGTTCCCTCCCTTGCCACCTCAGCCCCCACCCCATGAGGGTACTAGCTCTTGCCTCTGAGTTCCAGGCCTGCACCCCACCAAACTGTGCCCTCAAGAACCGGCTCGTGAGATTCCTGCCCTGGGTGCCATGTGATAGGCGAGGCCCTGCTTTGACCCATGTCTTAGGTTGAATTCGAAACCCACCCAAAAGGGGAAACTGAGGCTCCTCACTTGTGAGCTCTCAGGCAGGTGGGGGAGAAGGCAGGTAGGCCGGGGCCGGCACGCACCTCCTGGACCATGCTGGAGAAGTTGGCCTCTGGGATACCCTTCAGGCGATGTAGGACATCGTCCACGTGGGGCACCTGAAATTGGAGAGGGTGGTGGGTATGACAAAGGCCTGGGGGGGGGGTTCCCTGAGGGAGGATGGGGGCACAGGCCGCTGCACCCTGTGTCCTCATGTGTAAAATCTTGGGACCAGCACAGCCCTCCTGTCTTCAAGGAGCTGCCACACATGACCTGGCACAGCGTATGCCCCAGGAAAGCGGCTGCCCGCCAGGATGACCATCATTCGCCCTGGGTGTGCGGAGGAGGGGGTCTGTCTTGGGAAATGTGGGACCCAGGGCAACTCCTGGGGCAGCAGGCAGAGCAGCCCCCTCACTCTGATGGCCCCCGCTGGCCCGCACCTGGCTGAAGTCAGCTCCCAGCTCCAGACCCCGGGCCTGGCTCAGGGCCTCTGCACAGCCCTGGCAGCTGGGCTCCTGCAGCAGGTCTTGGAGGCGCTCTCTGTGCACCAAAACAGCCCGATCCAGGTCCTGCTGCCCCTCCTGCAGCTCCACTAGGGTGGCGTTCAGGGCTCGGAGGTGGTCCACGGAGACCTGTAGGGCTGAGAGAACCACCCACATCCTGACTGAGCAGCCTCCAGGTTGCTGGCATCCTGAGCCCTACAGGAAGCAGAACATCTTCCCTCCCCAACCACCCCCAGCCAAAGGGACCTTCCAGTATAACCTCTAACCTCAACAGTTATATGGAAATGACCCCAGGGCACATTGGGGCAGGATGTGGCCAAGGTGGCCCAGGGGGTCCTAGGATAAAGCCAGGGGTTGGGACTTGGCTAAGGCAGCAAAAGAAATCTGGGGCCCAGTGAGGGTGAGGCCTGCCCTCAGGCGACAGCCTGGACACTGGTCCCACTCACCCTGGCCCAGGCTGAGCAGTGAGGCCAGCATTCCATGTACTGTGCTCCTGAGCTGGCTGTGGATCGTGCTCCCGATGCTCTTGGCAACACCTGGAGAGCACAGGGCGGTCTGAGGGCTGCTCCCAGGAGCCAGAGCCCTCCCTCCCCTGCACCGGCCTCCCCAGGCTCTGCAGCGGGCTGGCTGCTGTGCTGCCCAGCTGGGCCCAACCCCCACCTCTGTGAGGGTGTTCTGGGGGAGCCCAGGATGAAGGGATTAGAGGGCCCCTCAAGACAGGCCTGGGCAGGGGGCCCTGGGGCTGGCCCGCCAGCCAGTTCCAGTCCTCACCATCCAGCTCCTCCAAGACGCGATTCTGGGGAAGGGAGAACTGCTGTGCCACAGCCTGCAGCTCCTACGCAAGCAAACGCAAACACAGGCCATCACGACAGCCCTCCTCCGCGCTTCCCCGCCCTTCCCCCACTCGTGGGCGCATTTATGTATTACAGCGACTCTCCAGCAGGGGCAGTCAGGTGCACGTTGGAAGGGGCCCTCTTTGGGCTAATTTGCAGGAACCCCTCTGCTCTGACCTGCCTGGGCCTGGTGTACATGCGGGTGAGCGAGGGTGAGGGGATACACGGTGCTCACCTGGGGGATATCAGAGACCAGGTCCCGGAGGCTGAGCAGCGTCTCAGGCACAGCCTCGGCGCTGGGGCCCATCTGCTCATGCACACGCTGGTTGGTGACAAAGGCACAGACAACGCCAATCCTGTGGGATGGGGGCAGAAGAAGGGACTCGTTGGATGTCCTTGGGCACCTGGGCCTGAGTCCACCCCTCTCGCCTGACCCAGGCTCCCCTCACAGCAGCACGAGGGTGGTCAGCAGCAGGAAGGTCATGAGGGTGCCTCGCTCACAGGCCAGCTCCTTGTGCTCCGTCTTCACTGGGCCCCCACAAGGCCGGTGGCCACGGCAACAACAGAAACAAAGCCCTGCAGTGGGCACCACCAGGAGGCAGAGGCCCGCGATGACAGCGCACACCACGTAGCCAGCCTCGTACCGCACCACCTGGCAGGGCACAAGGCAGAGGGCTGTTCTGACCCCACCAGCCAGCCTGCCCTGCAGGGGGCGAGCAGGAAGGGGGGATGTACACTGTGGGGACTTTCACGAATGTCCCTGAACCCATGCAAGGTGCCTGTGTCCTGATTGTATACCACCTTACAGCTGGGAAAACTGCCCTCCAGGGAGGTCGGGGACCACTGCAAACCTCAGTGAATGGCAGAGCTGCGGTTTGAAATCAGATCTGCTCATGAGAGAGGGAAGGGATGCCCAAGACCCACCCTGGGGGGTCAGCAAGGCAGGCTGAGCTAAGGGGGCCTTCCTATTTCTAGCCCCCAGGCTCAGCCCGGACTCCCTCTCCAGCCCCTCCCCAGCCTCACCTCGTCCACCTTCACGGAAGCTGGCTCACTCAGCAGGGCCCTCACCAGCTCTATGGAAAGAGTCAAGCTGGGGGCTTGCAGGTAGCAACCGCCTTGCCCCTGTTCCCACCCCCTTACCAGGAGAAGGTGGGCTCTCAGGAGGGCGCCTCCCACCACCACAGCCCCTTGCCATCATGCCCAGGCCTCAGGGCCCATACAGGATGGGGTGGTTGAGAGGAGGCCTCCTCCTGGACCCTACAGGTTGGCCCTGCATCAGGAAACCAAGCCACCAGCCTGGTTAAAAGCAGGGAAGAGCCTGGCCCAGCAGCTCTCCCTCAAGAGGCAGGGGACAGGCCGAGGCCCTGCAGCCCCTCCCGCGCCTCCCAACCCCTAGTGGCACTAGACCCAGTGGAAATCTTAGCCAGGCCTTTGGGAACTTCTAATGTAATCTCCTCGATACTAGGACAGAGAAACTGAGGCCCAGGGAGAAAGAGGGGCTCACCCAAGGTCACACAGTAAGGTCCTGGAGGGGTCTCCAGGTGCCGCCCCTGGGCAGGAAGATGGGGGTGGGGTGTGCTGGGGACCCTGCGTGGTCCACCCTGGAAGGGGATGACGGTGCTGGCCAGGAGCCTGCCCCACCCACGGCCTGCCTGGGGAGAGCACACTCACCGGTGGGGAAGGGGTTGAGCTGCACAATGGAGAGGAAGCGACGCACGGTGCCGTAGAGGTGGTCCAGGGGCCCTGGAGCGCGCGTGCGAGGGGCCAGCCACCGGTCCCTGGCTGCCGGTGCGAAGGTCAGGCTCACTGCCGGGCCAAGCGACCCACAGTCCGCAGCCTGCGCCCCCGGCAGGCTCAGGGCCAGCATCAGGCCCAGGCCCAGCAGAGGCCCCAGGAGGCCTGGTGTGCGCGCCATGAGGTCGCCTAGGCTGTGGGGCGGGCGGCTGTGGGGCTCAGGCGGCCGAGTGCGGGAGGAGTGCAGAGGCAGCCGTGCATCCTTCGCCAGCCTCGTCCTTGGGCTCTCAAAACTGGCCCGACGGGTTTGGGCTCCAGATCGACCTGGGCGCCGGCCCAGAGCGCTGGAAAGGCAGGGCGGAGGCCTGGAGTTGGGGGGCAGGGCCTGTTCAGACCGCCCTCGGCAGCCTGGGGTAGGAGCCTGGGTGCTCTCACCCCTCCCCAGATCGTCCTGGGAGGGCTGCCTCTGAGCTGGGTGAGGGATGCAGTCAGAAGCTCTGGATTACCTAGGGTGGCCCAATTTCAGATATGATATGCTCTGCTCAGACCAGCTGCCCAAGCGGAGGCTGGGAGAACCTGGCCCGGGGTGGCAAGAGCAGCCTTACAGGCGCAGGAACCAGGCTCCTCCCCAGCTCCCCCCGGTTCTGTCCTCTCGGGTCATATCTGTGCCTGCTGCCTGGCCAGTCCAGAGCAGGGAGCCCACCAGGCTTTGTCCTGAGTGGTTCCCGGAGGGTCCACTTGAACAGGCAAAGTCCTTTGGGTGGGCCCATTGGCCCTGTGCCCCATCCAGTCACAGCTGAGAGAACTGATCATGGCTATGTCCAGCGAGGTGTCTACACACAGGCCTCTGTTTTCTAAATGGCTGCACGCCCTAGACGAGAGGCTGCCGCGCCCAAGCAGACGCCCGGGGAAATCAGCCCGCGGATGGGCATGACCCTGGCAGCAGCATCCATCACACCAGCAACAGCCGACGGCCACGCCGACGGAGGAATCAGTAACACGAGCGTCTCACGTGGTACACCAGACCGTCTTGAAGGACAGTGCTGGGGAAATGTCTCTCCTGTCCTCAAAGACACTCTCACCGTGCTAGCGAGGGCAAGCGGCTGACCGCGGAACAGGACACGGAGGGCAGGCAGGGAACACTGGCCAGCCCGGGTAGCTCCGGCCCAAATCCTGGCAATGTGTATTCTCTTCTGCTCGCCTCTGCTGCCTAATTTCTTTGCCTTAAACATGTGTTGTTTGTGTCCAAAGAAGTAATAGGAGTCTGTGAATTTCCATGGCAGCGCCCCCTCCAGGGGAGTCCTGGAGGGAGGGGTTTTTGCCCTGCTTTTCCTGGTGGGTGAGTTGCTCAGGGCCTTTTTGCTCCTCATGAGGGTCACTGACGTCTGAGTCAGCAGCATCCTTACCCTTCCCATCGCGGCCCCCACAGTGCTCTAAGAGCCAGGGGGTAAGAGACACGGTCGTAGAAAGAATAGTCCTGTTAATAACAGGGTGCACACAGGAAACGGGGCCTCATCAAAGGGTGACTCAGAGATGAGGATCACCGAGGAATGGGCTGGGGGGTCCTGGCTCCAAACTGCCCCTGGAGGCCCAGCACCACTCTGCCCTGTGACTGTGCAGCACAAATGCCGGCTGTGTCCACCTCTCGCCTGCCAGTCTGGCTCACCCGAACCCAACCTGTGCTGGGCCCCCTGCCCCCTGGAGGCTGCCGTCGGGAAGAGCAGGTCTCCCCAGAGCCTGCCTGCGGCCCTCTTCTGTCCTCCTCCGATTTGAGCTGCTGAAAGGGTTACTCCCCCCGTGATTGCTCTCTGACTTCAGTCCTGCTGCCAGCAGGGTGGAACTAACCCTTTCCCAGCTGGTCTCATCCACCTGCGGACCAGTTCATAGCTTTTTTGTATTTTCTGAGTTGGGTGCACTGGGGACAATGGAGTTGAGGTCCCAGCTTCCTGGGGAGCACTAGAAACCCTTGGGGCTTTGGGCCATAAGCAGCCCGGGCCCCCAGGCCCTGTCTCCCACTTGTTTTCTCTTAACTCGAAGACATGATTTCTCCAAGAGAAAACAGAGGTACCGGCCTCTTTTCTGGCTGAGGGCAGGGGTTGATAAGACACTGAATCTGCCTCCTTGGCAGGTGGACAAGGTAAGGCAAGAAGAATGGAGCTTCCGGAGTTGGTGGCCACACCAGGACTGTCCTTCCTAAGCAGTATCGCTCTTTAATCCTCACTGAGGATGTGTTTCGAGAGAGGAAGGGAGAGAGGGAGAGAGAAACATCAATTGGTTGCTTCCCGAGTAAACCTGCAACCTATTTTTGGTGTATGGGATGCTGCTCCAACTAACTGAGCCACTGGGCCAGGGCCTCACACAGGATCTTGATAGAACAGTCTATCATCAGACTGGCCGGCGGGCCCCAGACTCCTCCCCTCCCACAGGCCCACCTGGGAGAGCAGGGAAGGCTCAGGGGCCAGCCCTGCCTGGACAGAGGGGAAATGAAACTGCCGGTATAGCTGAATTCCTTGGAGGGCCGAGCCAGGGGTTGTGTGGGGGCTGGGTCCAGGCACAGCAGTCCCCCCCCTGCAACAGGGCTGGAGTCCTGTTCTGCCCCTCCTTGTATGCATGCCTTTCTGGGTGTACCTGCAGGTCCCTTCCTCTTGATACCCCCTGGGGCCCTCTGCCCTGGAGATTCTTTGGTTGACCTGGGATCAGCTAACCATGGTTACCTTGGGAACACTTCCTGGGGCCACTTTCCCACCCCCTGACTCACACATTCTCAGAAGTTTGATAGTCCCCAAACCCTACAGCCCTGAGCTGGGAGAGCCAGTGTGGAGGTGGAGACCTGGACCAGGGGAGGGCTCTGCCCTTCAGAGCAGTTGGGAGGACACCAGCCGTGGCCGCCCCCTGGGACGAGAGAAGAGGAATTGTCCAGCCATCCTCAGAAACAGCAGGCCAGAGGGCTGGTTCCTCTTTTTTGCTGGCCTCAGGTGTCCACACTGTGCCCTGGGAACAGGTCGTAAACCAACCCAAGGGGACAAAGATCTGTTCATCAGGTCACCGAGGGCACAGCATTGCCAGTGAACACCCTTTGGATGGCAAGAAGCAAACAGCCGCTGAGGCCGCCGAAGGATCTGAAAAGTGAGAATTTGTAGTAGGGATAAGATGCATTTGAGGGTTCCAAGCATGGCGCTGGAACTGGGCCTTGGGGGCTTGGAGCCCAGATCACGTGCCCGCTGCTGTCTCAGCCGGTCACTCCCCACCACACACTGTCCGGGCTCCTCTGCGTCAGACAAGGCAGAGCAGGCCACCTGCCCGTCGGGATCGACCTGTGCTCCCAGGTAGGCTGTCAGCCCCGCCCACAGCACTGCAGGCCGCGTTCTGAATCTTGGCAGGAAGAAATGATGCCTCCCCTGGGAGCAGCGTCCCCCAGGCCACCGCAGTCCAGCCTCCGTGACAGCCTTACGCGCAGTCGTGGCTGCGGGGCCGCTGCAGTGGGCGGTGGGTGTGTGGGGACAGTCCTCTGAGCAGGAGGTACCACTCAGAAGGTACTGACCACAGCTGTGGGAGCAGAACTCTCGTTCCAAAAAGCCGCCAAAGCACAGGCCTCCCGGGGAGCGCCGTTGTGAAGAGCTGTGGGCGAGCATTCCACGGAGGGAACAGGGCACTGCCTTGGTGAGAACACTGGAGAATTTCCACCCCTGGCTTCCTGCCCCTCGTTCCGGCATCCAGCCAATCAACTGTGACCTTGCAGTACCACCTCCCAAGCAGGTCTCCAGAAGGGACTGTGGAAAATGCAGCTCAGACCAGGTGACTCCGTGGCGTCAGGCCCTTCGGCGCCCCCCACACCAGCTGCAGGACAAGTGGAAGCGTCATCTGTGCCGTCATCTGTGCCACCAGGGCCGTCCCCATGGGCCCTCTCCACCCCAACAGTTTCCTGTAGTGTTCAATGTCACGGTCACACCCCTCGGTCCTTCCCTATCCACGTGATCCCTGTTCTCCACCCCCTTTTACCCATTTCTGCTCATCCTTGAAGACTTGGCCATCTTCTCGGGGAGGCGCTGCCCCCCAGCGCAGCGAGGGGTCTCTTCAGGCTGTGTCCACGTTACCTGTGCATGCGAACCAACTATGTCACCCTGCTCAGCCCCAGCACAGACCCCAGCACACAGACATTCTCCATAAATGAAAAGCAGATTTCCAAACATTCAAAGGTAAAACATTTTCTTGCAACCAGACTTTGAAAGTGAATATGATTCTAGAACAGATGGGAGAGTCTCCAAACTGAAACCCGAGGGTGCGGTGGTGAGTGGGCCTGTGAGGGCGGTGGAGCCGGACCGGCGGGGGCTCCTCCGAGAGCGCCCTGCCCCTGGGGACTTCTTCCTGAGCCTTGCCAAGCAGTGAGGATGTGTGTGGGGGTTTCAGCACGTGCTGGAGGGTTCCTGTGACAACCGCTGCGGCCTCTTGGGCATGGCCAGGCCACAGGCATGCGGGGACCTCAGGCGGCCCCTCTGCCAGGCAGCCCAGGCCCCAGGGGAGGTTCTGCACCCTCTGCATGGCCAGGGAAGTCCCCTTGGGACCAGAGGGTCACCACGTCTTCAAGACTCGGTGGTGTCTGAGCCCAGCGAGAAGACAGCATCTTCCTCATTACCACAGCCTCCTCGGCCACCCTCTCTCTCCAGGGTCAGGGCCCAGGCCACATCTGACTCTGATGTCAGCTCCCTCCTCACCTGTGGCACTGGTAGCCATGGTCCCTAGGGGAGGGGACAGGCAGAAGTCTGGTTTCAGAGCCTCGGGGCAGTGGGGGCTCACTACTGTCCATGAGCATCATGGAGCAGCTCTGCCCCTGACGAGCTGGACTTGGAAGGGAAACAGTCACAGCTGGAGATGGCCCTCTTGTCCTCTCAGCCAGTCGTCCCATCACAACAGGTCCAGGGGAAGTTGTTGACGGCCCCTCTTTGGAAGTGCCATGCGGCGTCTCTTCCTGGTGAGGGCTCCTGGCAGAACCCACGATGAGACTCTCAGGAGCTCAGTCCAACCCCCAGTCTCCTCCTGGGCACCTGTGGTACTGCAGCTGGAAAAAGTGGCCCCCACGGTGCCCCCTGGAGATAGTGCAGGGAGGACAGAGCGTGTAGTCACGGAGGCTCCTTCCATGAAGGCTGGAAGGGGGTAGCCCGGAGAGAGGAACCCCCTGCCGTC